CCAAACAACTTGAGTGTGTTTTCTCATGAGAGGTTTTATTGTCTGATACGTTTTTCTTTTGCATCACATGATTTTTCTCCCTAGTTGTGATATAATGATATTTTTGCCAGTCTTGAAGGCTTGAACTCAGGGCCTGGGTGCTGTCACTGAACTTCTTTTACTCAAGACCAGTGCTTTACCACTTAAGCCATAGCTCTACTTCTAGCATTTTGGTAATTTATTGGAGATAAGAGTCTCACAGACTTGCCTGCTTGGGCTGGCTTTGAATCATGATCCCCAGATCTCAGCGTCCTGAGTCATTTTGATGAATTCTTAAAGAGTTTAACCTTGCATTCTTAGGGCAACCCTATTTGGTCATAATGCATCATCTTTTGTGTCAACTCTAGATTTTCATAGTTTTTCTTTCTGTTAATTTCTAGTTTTATTCCATTGTGGTATGATAAAATACAAGATACTGTTAAGAGTTAACTTCATGACCTGGGCAGATGTATGAAGCCTCTTTCTCAACCAGTTACTGGGCATGTGATTCACACTTGACATTCTTCGCTACATAGATTCTTGAGATCAGGGAGGTTTGAGGTCAGCCTAAGCAAAAAGCAATCTTTGAGATCCCATTTCAACAGAAGAAGCTGGGTGTGATGGTGTGCATCTATCATTCTAGCAATGGCAACACTCAAAATGAGGCTGTTGGTCCAAGTGCATACACGGGCAGGAAGTGAGACCCTTTGTCAAAAATAACTGATGCCAAAGGGCTGGAGGAGTGGCTCAGTAAAAGAGCACCTGCTTAGCAATGGACCCTGAGTGCTAAATAAAGACTTGCTTTATTACCTCAAATATGCTGTTTGAGAATATTCCATAGGCTGGTGAGAACATGCATACTGCGGGTTGTTGGTGGAGTGTTCTATAGATGTTTGTCAAGTCCATTTGATCATCAGTATTGTTTAATTCTGAAGTTCCCTGGTTACTGTTTGGGAGAGAGAGGTCCAGATAACCTGTGTGGTGAAAGAGGGTAGTGCAGTCCCTTATTCCTGGCGTGAGGTCTGTCTGTGCTTTCATATTCAGTCGTGTTTGTTTTATGAACTTGTACTAATGTTTCATAAATATATGTCTACAGTTTGCCATCTTGAAGGATCATTCCCATTATCAATATAAAGTGAACTTCTTTGTCTTTTTTGAGTAATTCTGGTTTGAAACTTGTCAGATGTGAATATAGTTACTCTTGCTCGTCTTCAGGTTTCATTTGCTTGCAAGATCTTTTTTTTTTTCCCCTGTCTTTTCACGCTAAGCTTGTGTATCCTTGCCAGGAAGTAAGATTTTTTTGAAGGCAGGAAATAGTGTTGTTTTTTTTTTAAATTCTAATCTGCAGTCCATGCCTTTAAACTGTAGAGCTGAGAGCATAAATACTTTGATTACTATTGCTAGGTTTCAGCTTCATTCTTTTCATTCTGTTATTATCTAAATTGTGGGGTTTGAATTCAGAGCTTCATGCTTGCTCTTTACCATACCTGCAGTCCTTTGCGTATGGTTATTTTGAGATAAGGTCTCATTTTTTTCCTTTGCTGGCCAGATCCACAATCCTCTTCCATGCTTTACCTGTGCCTGGGATGACAGGTTGGTATTACGGCTTGCTGAGATGGAATCCCATGATGACAGATTGCTGTTACAAGCTGGCTGATGGCTGAGACGGAATCCCATGAACTTTTTTTCCTAGGCTGGTCTTGACCTACCTTCCTCCTGAACTCAGCCTTCTAGTTAGCTGGGATGACAGACATGCACACACCTGGCTTGTTTTGCTCATTATATCATTGGGCAGCATGGCTTTGTTTGCTTTTAAATTCCCATGTAATTGCATATCTCTCCCTATTTCTGATTCCTACCCCTAACTATAAAAAATAAAAATAAGGGGGAAAAACTGGCACTATAAGTTATTGGCTTAAGTTATACTTCCCAGAGAACATTAGCATCTTTAATAGTTGATGCTGTTCTTTTGGGGTATAAAAAGTATAGAATTTAGTATCTCCCTAAATAGGTGGATTATAGGCCTAAGATGAACCTTTTAGTACCACAAAAAAAAAAAAAAAATGAACAGTGGAACTGGAATGAGAAGAGCCTGGTACTAGCCCTGGCTTTGTCTCTGAGAAGTATATACAGTTCCTGTGTGACCAAGAACCTGAGAAGTCCGTGACCTCAGAAAGGCTTGGAATTTGACCTAAGGACTGAAAGATCCATCCTTCTGAATGGCGGTGAGGATGATCACAGACCATAAAATGTCAGCCCACATTAATTAAAGCCCTGCATGCATATATTTGCATGTTAAAGAACAATTATATTGATAGCTTTTCAGCTCTGTTAAATGAAGCAGCAGGTTTAGTGTGATGTAGCGGGCACACCAAGCTTTAACAAAAACTCCTTTAAAAGATACAGTGTCCCTTCAGAAGCACAATTTTATACTTTGTTGTTTAAGAAAATAGTCCCATTATCATTTCTGTTTTCCAAATTTGATAAGTTCTACTTAACTGCTTTTCAGGTGAAAATACAATTCTGGAAAGAAATCTAAAATACTGACTCAAAACTTGTTATTTTTTCCTCCTTCATCTGCTACTTGCAAAAGGTAATGGCTTGTCGTCTTGTCTCAGCTCTTGAAGTGTGGTTAAAATACTGTATTTGAGAACCATGTTTGGCTCTGTGGCCTTGTGTGTGTTCTGACTTACAAAGAGACCTTACCATCCTTGCAGCAGCCCTCGGTGGGGCCTTGGATGCTCTCGCCTAGGAGGATTACCCTAGGAATGTGCTCTTTTTCTGCACAGATTCCTTCTGCTGGAATTGCCTGCCCTCTAGTTCTTTCCCAGTGATGCAAGCTACTGCCACACAGCCAGCTTGCTCACCCAAAGGCGCTGCTTTTAAGAAATACTAATGCACTTTGTAGTATAGCTTTTCAGTCCTGGTTCTCATTTACCTTGTTGGGGGGGAGGGGACTGGTGGGCATGTAGGTTTGAACTCAGGGCCTGGGCACTGTCCCTGAGCTCTTTTGCTCAAGGCGAGCACTCTACAATGTTGAGCCACAGTGCCACCTCCCTCATTTACTTTTTATACTCTCACTTAGAGCTTCCATCTTGTCTTTTGCCAGCTTTTCTTCATAATCTGTTAATATTTATTTTAATTTTAAAAGAGGGTTTTCCTAAATTCCATAATATAATTGCTGTTGGAAGCAAGTGAGTTACATTTGTTCTATGACATTGTGTGCTTCCTGTCATCTATGCCCTTGGGTCACAGCTGTTAGAGGCATGGCACCTTGATTTTTTTTTTTTTTTGTCTCAGACAAGCCCAGTGGTTTATTATCCTTTCTTAAGCAAGACTTGATGCAGAGTGAGCCCTTGATCTTACTCATCTTTAAATAACTGTATGCTGGTTGCTTACTGTTCATTGTATTACTGCTGGTATAAAACCCCACAATGCTGGAATAAGCAGGGCAAAAGAATGTGATGGTCTAGAATGAAAGCCTTAAAATTAGTCATTCTGTCTTAGCAATCTTTACTTCTCTATAATACTGACAAATAGAAATGAGGAAATGAGTCTAACCAAGTAATTACAAAATTATGGGAAATCTGTGATTTTTGCTTTTAAAAAAAGCTACATAACTGGGTGCTTCATACCTGTAATCCTAGCTTCTCAAGAGGCTAAGCTCCAGCCCAGGCAGGAAAATCCATGAGACTTACATTCAGTTAGCCACTAAAAAGCCAGAACTAGAGCTGTGACTTACAGAGTAGAACACCAGCCTTGAGTGAAAAATCTAAGGGATAGCGCCCAGGCCCTGAGTTTTAAGCCTGCGTACCAGTACACTCCTTTCCCCGCTGCCCTCCCCTTCCCCTACCCCCCCCCCCCTGCAAATTAAAAAAGCTAAAAACTTCTTGAGAAAGAAAGGAAATAAATGGCACAGAAAGATTCCCTCACACTTCCCTGAAGAACTGTGGAGGCTGTGGAAGGGTATGCCGAAAGCAATGATTGGGTTCTGCCATGAAAGATGTTCAGTGGAAGTCTGATGTTGCAGGCTGAGTTGTGCATGCAATGTGGCATGTGACACGTAGCAAGGATTTTAAAGTTAGGTGGACGCAACTTCACTTTGGTTCTGTTAGCTCTGTACCCTTAGCCTGTGCATTCCCTTCACACTAAGTGTCTTCACCTGCAAGTGATGATGGGGCAAGTGTTGCTGGATAGAGGTCCTCCCTGTCAGCAGAGTAGATGACTCGGTGCTGGGACCGCAGTGGCTCCTCCCAGAGTGAGTGTCCCAAGCCCCTGGGCTGACGTATGAGGAGCCCTTGTTCCCCTGCAGCAGCTCCCCTGTGTGTCCTCAGGATGCTCTGTGGCATCCGTGGTCCTCCGGCCACTCTTCAGCCAGTACCTAAATCCAGTGCGGGGAGGAGGGGCGGGGTGTTCACTACTCTGATGCTCAGTTTTAGGGAATGACAAAAACATTTCCTAATTTCGTAAATTACTGATCCATTTAATAGGCTTCTATGGAAAGATTTCTGTGCATTTCCTCTAAATTATTCTTGTGATCACTATCCATCTTCTTTTTTTTTCTTTTACTTAAAATGACTCTAAAATACAGAGTGGAAAATAAATACAGCAGATGGTTTTTACTTGCATGAAAAATGGTTGCTAGGAATTGAAAAATAGGTTTTCACAGTTGCAATCACTGTTTTCAAGGCGATTGCGGTTGCAGCCTACTGCATGAGAATAATAACGATAATGATAATAACATTACGATGTGCGGGTTCAGCCGTGTCGGTCCTGTGAAGGGTAGGTACTGTTATTATTGTCATTTCCAGATAAAAGGAACTGAAGCAAGAGAGGTTAATAGCACTGACGTTTGCCTAGTAAGGAAATAGCAAAGACAGCCCGGCTCCAGAGCCCACACACCAAACCATGTCTGGGAGGACTTAGAGAAGGTGAATGACCCAGAAGGTGGCAGGTTGGTTACGTTTGGATGTGCTCCACAGGTATTCTGAGAGAAGCCTCACGAAGTGTATTGGAATTACTATTGAGACCAGACCAGATTATTGCATGAAGCGGCACCTAAGTGACATGCTCACCTATGGCTGCACGAGGCTGGAGATTGGGGTGCAGAGTGTCTATGAAGATGTGGCCAGAGACACCAACAGGTAAGCCACTGGCAAGGGCCCTGCACAAGCCCTGCTCTCTCCAGCTGGCTTTCTCTGTGTTTACACTCAGCCTTTCCTCCTGCAGCCAGGCCCAGGAAAAGAGGATTGGGATTCTGCCCATTTTTTTCCCCTTGGCAAGACTGGCATTTGAGCTCAGGGCCTTGTGCTTGGCTCTACATCTTGAGGCATACCCCAAGTCCCTTCCGTTTTAGGCATTTTTCAACTGGAGTCTCATTTCTGCAAGCACTGTCCTGGACCACAATCCTGTTTATGCTTCCCCCGTCACTGGGATGACAGGTGCATACCACCAAGCCAGTTTTTTTTTTTTTTTATTGGTTAAGATGGGTTTCATGAACTTTTTTGCTCAGACTGGCCTCAGACTACTGTCTCCCAATCTCTACCTCCTGAGTGACTAGGATTAGTGTGAGCATCAGTGCTCAGCTCAAATTCACCCTTTTTCTTCAGTCAGTGCCCTCCATTAATCTTCAGTCTTTCCCTAAGAACCCTTTTCTAGCTGCCTATGAACACATGCATACCACTCCCTGTCCTCACACAGCTTCTTCATGTGGGCAGCTGGAGGCAGGACTTAAGGCCAGTGGTGTAAAGCCTGAGAGAAGGCCAGCAAAACTGCGGTGAATCAGAAGGCCGTGGGGGGAGAAGTCGACACCAGGTTGCCCCAGACATCTAGCCAGGCTTGCTTAACGCATGAGCATGACTCTAGAAAGCTAGGTTGAGAGGGTCTGTCTGCAGGACCCCGTTTCCACCTTCTCCACAGTCTGCGCCCCCAGTGACATCTGTCTGCGTCACAGGTTTCTCCCTTCCTCTCGCTCTCCCCATATTTCATGTTTTAAAGGAAAAGGGATGTGTCAGAAGCTGAAGCTTCTGCGTGGCGCTGACCACGTTGATCTCGTTTAATGTGGGTGTTTACATAGTAAGCTTGTTTTGACTGATGACGCAGAGCCAAATAATATTACTTGAATATATATATGTACAATATACATGTATAAGTATTACGTTAATTCTGTCTACCTGTCACTTACTTCTACAACTGTAGCAAGTACATGAAGGGATTTCTGAGAAAAATCAGTAAAACGATTTCCTTCAGACCTCCTCAGAGGTGAGTTGTGAAATGTGGCTTTCCCCAGCCACATGGCTGGTCTCAGGTAGTCTTCTTCCACCCACCCCTCGTGGTGGCCTCTTTGTCCATGTGTTTGTGTAACAAGTAGTAAATTTTGTTTTCTCAGGGGCCACACGGTGAAGGCAGTATGTGAGTCATTCCACCTGGCCAAAGATTCTGGGTTCAAAGTTGTGGCTCATATGATGCCTGACCTGCCAAACGTGGGACTCGAACGAGACATTGAACAGTTCATAGTAAGTGCCACCTTAAACCAGTTGACGTACAATCCCACTCACTGCCTGTTTCTTACTATGTACTCTCTCCTCTTGTGGCTTGCTGTTGAATCTCTCCATTACTAAAGCAGTGTGTCCTCATTATAGAGTATTAGAAACCTAATAAACAGAGTCACCCCAACCCCAACGTCAGACAACATTTTTCATCTTTAAGGAGTCACACACAGGAATTTCTTCCTGCTTGGTGGTATGGTAAAGGAACTGGCTGCTGGCGAGTGAATAGCAGAGCGCAGTTGGCAGACTGGCTCTTCCCTGTCGCCAGCCTTTCCTGTGTGCCTAGAATTCTGGAGTTCAGAAGCTCTCCAGTTTCTCCAGAGAATGGATCTTACCATTGGCCTACACAGAAAGAAGGGATATTTTATTTCCATGTCTGTCTCCCATCCTGCCTGCTTCCAAAGCCTTCTGATCTGAGAGCCTGTCTGGACCTCTGGTATGACTGAGCTGGCCTTCCATCAGTATCTTTCTTTTCCCAGTTTTCCCTGCTGGCAAAGTCATGTCCCAGTAGTCAGCCATTTTCTGTTTCTAAAAAATTTATTGAAATTACTTGTCCCTTCCTTGCCTGCTCTATTGTTCTCTTTGCTCTTCAAAATTTTTATTCCCTTTAAAAATCTCTCCTGTTATTTTATTGTTGTTTGGGAAGAAAATGAAGGCAACATATTTTAATTGTCTGAACCAGTTCATACTATCTTTATTCTTACAAGAAGAGTCAATCAGTCCATATTTCTCCCAGAACCAGAAGTACTTTCCTGAAATCTCACATTCAAATGTGGATTCAGACTTGATGGAGAATGGCTTGCATACAAGCTCCTTGCAGCCGGCTAGAATATTTATTAGAATATTTATTAAAGATCTGATGAATCCCTAAAATAGAAATGTTACAGGGAAATCCACAAAACAATTACTTCTAAGACCACACAGTGCCCAAAGAATACAGCACTTAACACTTTTAACAAATCAATGAGATCGGAAACTCTGCCACTACATTTCTTTGAAAAGCAAGTTAAACAATAGAAAGCTTTGCAAGAATAGCAAAAGATTTTTTGCATTTTTTTTTGAGATAGAGCATTGCTGGAGAGGGCAGCGGGAGTTAGAGGGAACTGTGTGAGTCTACCTTCACCTCCGGACCTAAGTGCAACCCAGATGAAGACAGATCAAAGTCATGCGAAGGACAGTGCCTACCTTGGGCCTCCTTACTGCAGCCCAAATAAAGAAATGAGGCAGCCAGCAGGGACCGCGTGAGACAGAAAAATGACCGTGCCAAAAGTAGATGAGTTAGATGCATTGCTCAGTGTCCAGATAACAAATGGACAGTGTGTATCTCCAGTGAGAAACGGTGCCAGTTGGCTTGAGGACAAAATTGTCACCTCTGGGGATCAGCAAACCATTTCTGAGAAGATCCAGATAGTAGATAATACAAGGTTTTTGGGTTTTGGTTTTTTTTTTTTTAATGTTTTTTTGGTTGTTGTTGTTATTATCTCACAACTTTTAAAAATTTTAAACAAATGTATTCTTAAAGGAGGATGGATTGGCACAGGGAGTACTTGAAGGTCAGGAAGGCCCCTCTGAACAACAACAAGCTCTGGCCTGAAAGTTGGCTAGATGTGGGAAACTCCATGGAGTGGTGCGTGCCAGCCAGATCCCATGGTGGGGAAGCCTTGCAGTCCCGCACACAGGGAGTTTGCATCCTCTCACATACCTGCCCTTTCACAGAAAAAGGCCTCCCGGGGTCTGCTGGGAATGCGAGTGATGCTGGCCCAGGACTGAGGTTGCTGTGGATAGAATCACTGACACAGGAGCGGCTTTCTATTCTCAACTTCTAGGAGTTCTTCGAGAACCCTGCTTTCCGTCCTGACGGTTTGAAACTCTACCCTACCCTGGTGATTCGTGGCACGGGGCTGTATGAGCTTTGGAAATCAGGAAGATACAAGAGTTACTCTCCCAGTGACCTGATCGAGCTGGTGGCTCGGATTCTCGCCCTTGTGCCTCCCTGGACTCGAGTGTACCGAGTGCAAAGGTACTGTGTTGTCTTTTATTCCCCGAATAATGGGTACCTAGTTTATAATTCGTTTATAGCTTCTAATGGGAATAGTCTGACTTCATGTTGAGGGTTTTGAGGTTTCTGTACTAAACATGAGATGCTTAATAATCTGTTTTTCTTCCTAAGAGACAAAGATAAGATCACATTTGGAATCGTTACATTTTTCATTTAATTTTTTTGTGCCTTTTGTTTTTGTTGGTTGGCTGGTTTTTGGTTTTGCTTTTTGTTGTTGGTTTCTTGAGACAAGGTCTTGCTTTGTAGCTAAGGCTGGCCTCAAACTCCTCCTGCCTGGACCACCATACCCAGCAACCTGGTTTTTAACTAGAAACATCACGTAGCACTGAGTTGAGTTACCTTCATACCTCTGGTCAGAACAGAACTGTTCTCCATGTTCCGTCATAAGGGTTCACTCCTACCACCCTGCTAAAATCTACCTATGCTTCAGTGTTAAAAATACAAGACCAAGAATGACTGGCAAATAAAATCAGCCACTGTGGCCAGAACTCCACTGCACATAAAAAGTATGGTTCTAATTACAGAAAAAAATGAATACTGAAAACAAATTGTCAGCTCCTTAAGGAAAGTTTTAAGTCAGTGGCCTAACTCTAGGATCCAAATTGCTTATAAAATCAGCTGTTAAAATCATTGCTTTATCCTTCCTCTTCCCTTTCAATTTCCTTTTCCTCTTTCTTTCCTTCCTCTGAAATAATTCAGTGTAAAGACGGATGAGCGAGAGCAACCTGGGTGTCCCTGTGAGGGAGGCAAGGGAACTGCAGGGGCCTAAGAGGCTGCAGGGGTGACTCACGTGGACCAGACAGGGGCTGCTGAAACCTGAATACAGGGAGCAAGGCATTGACTCCTGTGTAGTGCTGACCAGGTGGACGGGGGTGGAGGATCTCTTTAGGAGATGGAGGGGAGCAGAAAAGATAGCGGCAGCTGACCAGGTTGATGTCCTCAGTAGACTAGGTGCTAAGCTGGTCATCTAAGAAGGCAGTTACACTGTGGGAACGGGGGACGCTGACAGGACTGCTGGAACTTTACTGATCTGTAGGCACTTCTCCGTTCAGTTCAGTTGGCAATCAAGATGAACCATCATGGTTTCTAAATACCGTCCTCTACTACAAAGAATAATGAGTTTGTTGTTGTTGTTGTTTTAGAGGAATGGCTCGTTGCAGGTTTCAGACAGGGAAAGTAAACCTGGCTGTAACCTTTTGTGCCAGAAAATAAGAGTGTGTTCAAGAGAAGTACAAGAGAGTCCAGTTGAAGGCTCCCTTAGGCCCAGCATGGGGCAATTTCAGTATGAAGTAACTCACATTAGCAGATTATAGCCAGATGAATATAATAAGAATCTGTGAGTCCACACTGGTAATTGTAATTAGATCAACATTGTAAGAACCAAAAGAACATAACACCAAGTCTTAATTATAGGCGGATTTCATATTTGCAAATTTGCCTGCTTGAAGAATTAGTGACTCAGGATAAGTACTTGTGGCACATTTGCCACAAATCATTCCCGTACTTGTGCAGAGCAACAGAAATTGTCACCCCACTTAACTGAGGCCAAGCAAGTGACCCCAGCTTCACTTTCCGGCTCTCACACTGCATGCAAGTATCCTTTAGTCTACTTAGTGCTGCATTTTTTAAGATTTTTGTGCTATTCGTTAGGGATTTGCTCTTTGAAATGATCCTAAACACAGTGCTGAAATGCTGTGATATGCCTTGGGGGAAAATGTGTGTGCTAGGTCACCTTCCTTAAGATAGCAGGAGATAGGGCTGTTGGCCGTGAGTAAGTTCAGTGTGATGAATCGGTAATGTTAGATCAGCATCTATCTAGAAACACACATAAAACAAGGTTATGTATTAATAGACACAAAAGGCCATGGCCAGAGGCTCGTGGGAACCCAGCTCTGTACGTTCCATAGGAACAATGGCTTAGACTTCAAGAATGTAATAATTACTTACTAGTTACCATCTAGTAACATAACTGGAATTGACTCTGTTGTCAAGGAGTACCTCTTTATAACATAATAATTATGAAGTGGGAAAGAATAGCTTGACAGTAAGAAGCCTGTCAGCTGATCAGGGGAACACTCTTGGAAAGAGTTTGAAGTGCAGTTATGTGCCGTTTGTGAGGGAATGTTCTTCAGCCAGAGGCCCTAGTTGGAGTGAATATGGGGCACCAGTGTACAAGCCCAGACCAAGGGGAGGTCTGAAAAGGAACTACGCTCGAGTTTGAAAGTGTCCAAATCAGGGAATAGTTCCATGTTGAAGGAGACTAAAGAAACATGAATACAATATAGAGTTCCAACATGGGCCATTTTGCTGTGAAAGATTTCATTGGGGCACCAGTGAAAGGGGGGAGTTGCGTATTAGACGATAGAAATTACCTGAGGTGGTTTTCCGATTTTGATGACAGTTCTGTTTGAATAACAGTAACCTTGTAGAAAACCAAGTATTCCATCCAGGTTGGCCCGGGCCATTCACAACTTACTGTCAGATGGTTCTGGGAATAAGTTAGTTGTACTTTTTCTGTGACTTTGAGATTGCTTCAGAAAATTTACATGAGTGACAGTAGGAAATAAGGAGGCAACGAAGACCAGAGAGGAAGGAAGTAGATCATTTCCTTGAACCACCCCAGAGCAGCGAAAGGACCCGCAAAGCCATATCTTCCCAGCAGAGTGTGACATAGAATGGAGACCCCTTTCAGCTCAGAGAGCCACAGTCTTAATCAAAAAGAAGAAAGCGTAGGTACGGCAGGCAGTCAGGCCAAGGATCCACACTCTCCCCCTCCGCCTGGACCCTCCCGTAGCAGTAGCAGTAGCAGTAGACGTCTGTGGGCGTTATCATGACATAACACTGGCCCAGCACTGCTGCCGAGATGACCGCTGGAGGGACAAGGTGCAGACGTCCACAGGTGTCCATGAGGGCGGCAGTGAGGCTCTAGTGTGATCGCTGTTGCTTCACAGATCTGTGGGTGGACTAGAGCTTAAGGGACTACTGTAAAATCAGAGGCAGTGGCACTGTCGGGTAGTGGGGTGCTCCGCAAGTCCTGGGCGAGTGTGAGGACGATGTGTGGTCTACAGAGCAGGGTGATTCGGTTCCCTGCACGCAGATGTCTCCACACCCACCGCCATGCCAGCTTTTCCTGCGTATACTTCACTGTGAAGATGGCTGTTGACTAGGCTTCTTAAGTCACCAGCGGTGTCCTTTTCGTGTTTTCTATTTTATTTTCATGTGTTTCATCGTCTTACTATAACCCTATTTAAGTTATACAAGTATGTTTCCATTCAAATCATTGGGATTTTTTAAATGTAATTTATTGTGGAGTAGTGTTAAATATTACTTGCTAGTTTGTAGTGGGAATTGCTGAAGTATTACTGTGTCTACCTGTATAAGAAGTCTAATTTTTATATGTTGCTACTTTTTTTCCATTTTTTATTTACATGTTTTCTTTGTGTATACATTTGGCCCTCTGTACCCAAGGGTGCTGGATCTCGGGATTCATCTAACTTTAGACCAAAATGACACCTGTACTGAACATGGAAACTTTGTGTTATCATTCCCTGCACCATACTGAGTAACCACTGTTTGCACAGCACTGACGCTGTGTTAGGTGATGAGTCATCTGGAGACAATGTGATTTAGGAGAGGGTGTGCCTGTGTCTCCTGCGCCATTGATGTAACCAAAGTGTCTGCACATTTTGGCACCTGAAAGAGCCAGTCCCTCACGGATGCTGGAGGTGCCACACTGAAACTGGAACTCACCATTCATTACACATAATCCCAGAAAGTTTGCACTCAGCTCGTGCAGTGCTGAAGTCACTCATGAGATTCCATTTCCTGCTCCCTGTCCCGTGTCATGTGATTCTGCCACTTGCACTGTGCAGGCATCACCATAACTTTGCTTTTTGAATCATTTGTGTTTACATTTTTATGTTACTGAGTTTGGTATATAATACTGACAGCCAGAATTTGGTTGCTGTGTCATTACTAGTCATACAGTGCTATACTTCCATGAATAAAATCATGTTTTCTCTACAAAACTACCTCATAGCTATTTTCCCACACCCTGTCCAGCCCCACTTTAAGCTAGTCTATTTTTTTTCATCTCCTGCTGAGGCTGTGGCATCTTCCTGGGAATCTTTATGAAGCAGCACCCTGAGAAGAGATTCTGTATTCTAATCCTGACAGATGCACCAGTGGCTACACATCGGGAAGGCATGTTAGCAGCCATGTTAGTGCTGCTGTCCTCAGGCTGTTTGACAGCTGTCTGCCTCCATGTAGGACTTAAATCACGGCGAGGCATTAGAATAGAAATGCCAATTTGCAACCAAAACATGCTTCTGAAGCCTGAGAAACTTTAGACAAAACGCTGTACACATCACGGTGATCTTCAAAGGTTTTTAAGGAGCAAAGAACAAAAACCAGCACCTCCAAGCTGGATGTAGTCAAAAAAGGAATGATCTCATATGTAATCTCTTCATGCCAAGAAAGTAAAATTAGATTGAAATATATTGAGGAACCTTTCATTTCAACTTCTAAGTGGATGTGCCGAAGGCAGTCCATAACTTCTCCTACAGTTGAGCTCCCAGAGTGTTCAAGATCCAGACCCACATGGGTGGCACCTTGCTGGGAGAGGACAACTATCTCCCTGCGGTTTCCGTGGGAAAGACTTTGGCGCACTGCAAGTGGCAGTTGCCACAGTCTTGTTCCCTAATGAGGAAAATTTTGAGGCATGTCACTGCAAAGACCACTGAAGCCAAGTTCGTTTTTGGAGTGACAGACATAAATTTAAGGGCATTTACACGAACTGTCAGCATCGCCGTGATTCCCTGTGTGAACAGGCTGACTCTAGTGGGCAGGACCAGCTTCAAGAGCATGCATGCCACACAGGGCTGGTGCTTGGCTCACTGCAGACTCTCACCAGCTTGAAGTTACTAATACTTAATAAGGGGCCCCATATCCTCATTTTTTCCTGGATCCCCACAGATTATATGGTAGCCTGCTTGTAACAGGTAAGTGTAAGTAAGTATTGAACAGTTAAACCTAAGGTTTAGGGGCTCCCAGAAGCTTAACCCTGAATATTCCATTCCCTAGAAATGGTGCTGTGGTGTAGACAGTACATTATAGAACATAACTACCACAATAATACAAATCGAACGTATTTGTCACATGGTGTATACGACTAGCATGGCTGCCACTGTACAACAGTGTTTGAAATTGTTACTTGAAGTTGTAAAATATAGCCCTGTATTTCATATATTTGAATTATGTATAAGATGCTTCAAGGTAAAAAGAATTTTAAGTGATTTGACCTTTAGCTTATGCAATATGAAACAGTAAAATAATATTTGATGTCTTATGTTTCTTGCTAAAATTCTTATTTTCATTTTGATAGCCTTCCTCCATTTCATCTGATTACTAACTTTGAAACATTTTTGATTTTAAAAAGCTGTAGTTCCAAAGTTAATGCATTTTACTGAAAAGTATAAGTTAGCCATATATACTGACTCTCCTAGTCACGCCAGAACATGTTTGCATGTCACTCTCACTGAGCCCCTGCTTGCTTGTCTAAGCATTTTTATGGAAATTCTTCTGGCTTCTTAAGCTGAATAGGCTTGTTGGGAATAGCTTGTTATGCTCAATAATTGGCTTTTGATACCTTTCAGTGAGGAATATCTTACTAAAATCAAATAGATGTGTTAGTAATTGTGTTTAATGTGTAAAGGAGTAAGTGGAGAGAGCAGGAAAAGACTTGTTGATTCTAGAACAAGAGAAAAGAAAAATAAATAATTACACATTTTGCTTCTGTTAACTAAACATCAGATTAAACAAATTGGAACTTTGTATTTACATAGGAAAGAAGACATGCTTAGCATAGACTTCAGATCATTTTTTAAAACCTCCATACTTAGGTGCTGGTTGTGGGGGGAGGGGGTTGTTATTGTTGTTTTGTTGTTTTTGCCAGTCCTGGGGCTTGAACTATGGGCTTGGGTACTGTCCTTCAGCTTCTTTTTGCTCAAGGCAAGCTCTGTGCTACTGGAGCCACAGTGCCATTTCCAGTTTTTTTGAGTAGTTTACTGGAGATAAGAGTCTCACAGACTTTTCTGCTAGGCTGGCTTTGAACTGCGATCCTTAGATCTCAGCCTCCTGAGTAGCTAGAATTACAGGCGTGAGCCAACCTCACTCACCAGCAAGTGCTGGGGTTTTTTTTGTTTTTGTTGTTGTTGTTGTTGTTGTTTTGTGTGTGTTGTTATCATTTTATCGTAGACTGTTGGGAGTTTTCTGTAAGATGGTGTTGTCGCTGCTAATATAGAATGCATACTTGGTCCTTTGTCATGTATTGGTGCTTGGAAATGAATTTTATTAGGCAAATTTGTATTGTCTTTAGGCAGAGTCACTTCTAATTTAGAAGCGGACAGGAAAGTTTTGAGTCTTTGAGAATAGTAATTGGCTATGCCAGGCTTCTGAGCTTCCTGGTTACTTTCATCCAGCCACAACGATGCGAAAGTATTCATAAAGCTAGAAGCATTGTATTAATTGAAATTGGTATTTCCCCTCAGCAAACAAATTGACGTTTATTAAGCCCATTTTGTTTCCTTTTCAGTTTGGTATTTTCTCTTCCGCCAACAATCTTCACTAATGGTTATTAGGCATTTGGGCATGGGTTTGTACTTTGTAATCTTATAAAATGATTTCCATCACATGTCTCCCACAGAAACCCTTAAGAAGTCAATGAAATTACATTTCATGAATGGGAGAACAAAGATAGAGTAACACTCTGCAGGATATTCAGCTTCACAGGCATTTTTTCTGGTGTTTTTCTGTATAGAGACATCCCGATGCCCCTGGTGAGCTCAGGCGTAGAGCACGGCAACTTGAGGGAGCTGGCCTTTGCAAGGATGAAAGACCTCGGGATACAGGTGAGAGCCCACAGGAGCACTGAGGAAGATGCCATCAGGACGCAGGGCTGCCGGAGTGTTGCTTTTCTGGTTGAGTCAGAAAGCGCGCATGTGTTGAAGGCGTTCTGTGATCTGTAGAGGTGAACAGGTGCTGGCAAAGGCTGCAGTCCACCCCTTCATCCATTTCTGCTTTCTTCTACCTAACGGCGTCTATTTAACCGTGTAATGGTGCTTGTTTTTTTCTACCTGCTCTGATTGCCAACTATATATGTTCAACAACTTTTTTCAGAAACTTTTTTCATTCAGAGTACTGGATTTTTTTCTTCTTTACCAGCTGGGTCATAGGAGAGTAAGATATGGTCTGCAGAAGAAAGTAGGTCCATTGGAAAATACAAGGATTATATTCAAGAGATAATTACCAAACAGTGCCATTGCCCTGTCTCTGCACACTCCCTAACCCACCCCCACTGTCAAGTCACTTGTTTTAATATTTAATAAGAGGAAGCTATCGCTTCACTCTCTCGAGAAAGGTAATTCATTGAAACTCAGGGTCCCAAGAACTTGTTAGAGCTGCTGAAGACATAAGCCAGGAGTGGTGTCCAGCCGGGGCACTTGGTGGCCAGCTCTGCCTCCCAAGATTGGTTGTATTTAACCAAGATAGGGCCAAGGTATCCGTGCACTGTACCTGATCAAATGTGGACCATGCTTTAGGAAACTTTGTTCCAGAGCTTGTACACGATGTTTACAGGCTCAGCCTAAATGATTTTATATTCTCAAATTACTGTGGAGAAAAACTCTTAAAACTGTCCACGAGAAGGCTTGTGAACATTACTGGCTTAGTCTTTTAAAAAATTAAGTTATAGAAAAGAAACAATTGCATTTAGAGTGATTAGTGGTGTATATGTTCCACTGTCCAGGTTCTTATCACCCCTCAGAATCCTGCTGTAGAGGACACTGCCAGTCTTGTTTACTGACAGCCTCCTCATCTCTCCACCTTCTTTAACTCTGCCCTGTGTTACCCTGCTAGTCTCTATTAAATAGCCTGAGAATGAGTATGGCATTCAGTCACAGCTAATAGACACCCAGTTCCCATAAGCAGTGTCTATTGGAAAGCAGGCTCACGCTATCTGCTTTCTAGAAGCATGCCCCCAAAAAGAACAAGAAGAAAGAAGAAGCAGGGACACATGTTGCTGCAGTATATCACAGCAAGACACTGTATAGAACAACAGTAGCTGAAAGGCAGCATTTGCATTTATTATGTTATTAATTACAGAAATTGTTGGCCTTGGTTTATGTGCAGTTTGCATCAGCAAAATATTGTCCTGAGCTGGTTTCTGGGGTGTGAAAATAGGTTTGCTTTTTTGCAGAACTGGATACTGAACTCTTTTTAAAAAAATGGAATTCCATACATATGTAGCAATTCTTCATAAATACATTAGTAGTGTTACTTGCACGGCTATCAAATGTTTAGAGTGATTTTTTTTTTCCTCATTGGTAAAAATGGCAAAAGTCTGAAAATAATGTTTCCGATGCACTCTACAGGAAAATTTATACCATAGGACATAAAACGGAATAGTGTAAGGATTTTATATAAACACTAGGCTGCAGAGCATGCATAACTGGGCACTGTGAGGGTTGCATATTAGATGTCTGGCCAGGCAGACCAGGCATTGCCCTGGCATTGTCTGGAGGCAGCTTTGTGCCGCTGGGGATAGGCAAAAGGCCATTTGTAATTGGGGTTCAGTTGGTTTACTATTTGACTTTAGCCTCCTTCCTTACTTCCTTTGTTCTTTCATTCTTTTTCTTCCTCTCGTCTTTTCTTTTACAATGCCTTTCTCTGCAAAAACATCTTTAACATGCATCTTTGACATGTCTAAAATGATACCAATAAGATAACACTAAAAGTACATTAACTGCCATAAAATAGTGAAAGTTTAAAAAATGTAGGAATTTTCTTTTGCTCTTCTCTGCACATAGTTTTGGATTATACTTTCAGATAGTTATATCCTCTGGGCAAACCTATTTTCTGGCTTTATGACTCATAATCTCTTCCCTCCCCTCCAGATCATATTATATGTTGGTCTCTTGAATTCTAAATTTATTTGAAAGGCAAAACAGCACAGCTTTGTAAGTTTTCATTCTGCTTTCTTCCACTCTCAAATTTATTAAAGACAGACTCCTTTAAATGTTCAGTTTTTAATGTCAACATAAATTGTGTTCAAACTCAATTTTGAGCCCAGCATTTAAATAAAAGAATGATTTAAATGAACATTGAATTTCCACTTCAATTTTTTTTTTTGACAGTGTCGAGATGTAAGAACCCGAGAAGTTGGAATACAAGAAATTCATCACAAAGTACGGCCATATCAGGTCAGTTTCACTTAAACCTTTGCCAAATCTGCACTCCCACCTTACAGATCAGACCGAGCCCAAGAAGTGAACAAGTAACTCAACAGAGCAGAGTAATTAGGAAGTAGATACAGGTATCAAGCCAGGAAACCAAGTGTGCAGGTAACTGAATGGGAAGAGAACCAGGTTAGGAAAAACAGGTGTGCTCACTCTTGCAGTGTTAGAAATGTTCTGCAATCTCAGCTGCTCAGTGTAGAAGCCATCAGTGCCATGCTGACCACCCTACACTTGGAATATGAAGGGCTTCGTTGTGACGTGATTGATTACCTTTTGGTGGAGTGCAACTTTCAGATATTTGTCCAGTGGTGATAATCAGATGCATAAACAGCACTTATTCCCAGGTTTCCACAGAAATGAAGGGTGATGTTCTAAGACATTCATTCTATATAGGGACATAATTTCACTTTTTATACCTATAATGTCTCTAACTACATGACAAATTAAGTGTGGGATGTAAGTCATAAAATTCCATTTGAAGCTGGCCACCTGTGGTTCACGCCTGTAATCCTAGCTACTCAGAAGGCAGAGTTCTGAGAAACACACTTCAGAAACAGCCCTAGCAGACAAATCTTTTAAGATTTATGTGCAAATAACAAGCCAAAGGTTAACAGCAGAGTCATGGCTCAAGGATAAAGCATCAGCCATAAGCAGAAAGGCATGAGACCTTGAATTCAAGCCCTTGTACCAGCCAGCACACACAAAAAGAATCCCACATCAGAAAGGCTGGACTAAGATGATCTTTGCTTGCATTAATAAATCTACTCTTAGCATGAATTGTGTATGTTATTGATATTTTACACATCTGGGACCTTTTGAAAGGAAAGAGTAGACCCAACAGAGTTTACTGTTTTACAGAATTCTTATGCAATCCAGGTACTGGGCAAACATGAAATTGAAAAGAAAAATGTTGGTTTGAATTGTTGAGTGCACTAGGGTATCATGTGACCATTTAGGGACTGTGTTGTTATGTCCATATCTAAATGTCATTGTGCAAGGCCATTTGCACAATGGCTTAAAGAGTTAAAGATCTATAAAAGTTGCTACCACAAAAAATCTACCTTCCAGTAATTAGATTTTCAAGATCCCAATGGGATAACCATACTTGCTAAATCCTGTCCAGGAACTGGGGGTCAGCACCTCATTCTCCAGCCCCTACACAGGCTTTAGTGGAAGACTTAGAGACTAGAAAATGAAACCATTCAACACTGGGGACCAAAAGCAGTGCCCCTAAGAGCTATGCATGGCACAGAATCTGTAGATCTTAACGGAAGATCAAAGATTAAATACATTCACTGAGTTGGATAGCTGGAAGAATCTCAAGGTTAATTAAGTTCAAATATTTGAAAAAAAATCATTCTCCATTTATAATAGTCCATGAACAAGACCTGAACCTTCATTTAATCTTAGTGCTATTTGAGAGGAGACAAGTAAAAAGAAACTTAATTAGTGATGATTCATTCTGGGTTCCTAACTGTGAGTGTTAGCTTAGATAAATACATACAATTATAAAAGTGAACTTCTTTAATTTTGAAAAGTATTTTTGTGGCTTTTTATTCAACAGGTTGAATTGGTAAGGAGAGACTATGTTGCAAATGGTGGCTGGGAAACGTTTTTGTCCTATGAAGATCCTGATCAGGACATTCTGATTGGCCTCCTGCGATTACGGAAGTGTTCAGAGGAGACTTTCCGCTTTGAGTTGGGCGGTGGTGTTTCCATAGTTCGAGAGCTGCATGTCTATGGGAGTGTGGTTCCCGTGAGCAGCCGGGATCCTACAAAATTTCAGCATCAGGTAGCCTATATTCTACTCATATTTGTTTTCTAATTAATGAGAAGGGGAATAAGAAGCAGAGAAGGGAGAAAAGGAAGTATTAAAAGCAAAGAATCTGGGGTGGGGAGGAGAGAGGGGTATATGTGTTTTCTTTTCTTTTTTTTGGGGGGGGGGTCCGGAAGTGGGGCCTGAACTCTGGGCTTGGGCGCTGTCCCTCAGCTCTTCAGCTCAAGGCTAGCGCTCTACCACTTGAGCCACAGTGCCACTTCCAGCTTTTTTCTTATGTGGTGCTGAGGAATTGAACCCAGGGCCTCAAGCATGCAAGGCACGCGCTCTACCACTGAGCCACCTTCCCAACCCATGTGTATGTTTTCTTATACTAGGTCTTACATTTAGGGCCTGGGCACTGTCCTTCATCATTTTTCTCTCAGGGCTTGTGCTCTACCTCTTGAACCATAGCTCCACTTACGGCTTTTTGGTGGTTTTGTGGAGATAAGTCTCACAGACTTTCCGTCCCAATCTGTGACAGATGTCAGCCTTGTAAGTAGTTAGGCTTTCTGGCATGAACCATGGGCACCCAGCTAGAAGAACTCGAATTTTAATTTTTTAGAGGTGTTTGCTCTCTCTATTGCTCCCTTTGATGAATAATGGGGGCCGAGCAAGCAACAAACCGATTTGGCCATGTTGAATATCACAGAATACATGAAGTTGCTGCTGTAGAAAGTCATCTGGTACTGGCGATTTTGTATGGGTCAACTTACTATGAATCAGATGATGGCATGAAAGCACCTTTGAAATATTAAAGCACTTCTGAAGTGTAAGTTGTTACTTGTCTGAGAATCCTATTCTAAGCCCAACCAACCTAAAATTAGCAACATACCTTTTGAAATTCAGGAAAATGTGTTCAAAGCACTCATGGCAGCTCTCAGATAGGCCCCCATTTTGATGATCTAACAATCTTGCCTAGTTCTGAACCCTTCTAGAAAGTACACTGTGGCTGTAATAAATGAAAGACTGCAGCCCCAGACTCTGTCCCTTGGAGACTGCCTAGAACTGTCCTGTCGAGCGGCGCCAGGCATGAGTTCCCCCTCGCTCGAGTGCATTGCTCTCACCACTGGAGACCTTGCGGGCACTCTTATTGGAAAGTTAAACCTCACTTACTAGTCAGTGCCAATGTACTTTTAGTATAATTGTGCGGCTTCTTTATCCTTTCTCCTAAGCAGATTTGTGTTGCTCTTTTTAACAGGTTTTAGGAACCACTAAATTATAGCCTTGTTTTATGGGCCTCATTTAATGGAGTTCCTTCCCTTCTAACCCCCAACCCGTTTGTTGTTCCTTCCAGGGCTTTGGCATGCTGCTGATGGAGGAGGCAGAAAGAATAGCTCGAGAAGAACACGGATCTGGGAAAATAGCTGTTATATCAGGTAACAAGTGGGGGGGCTGCGTTCATGATTCACTCACATCCTGGACTTGGTACCACAAGGAAGTTGTCTGCCCTCAGGAATTTCATACCCCATTTATGATCAGATTGGACAGGCTGAGCAGGGAAGGACTTGTGCTCAGACACTCAGGAGCTTCCTCAAAGCAGTTGGGTAGAGAAGAGCTTTCAGCAGCACCCACCGCCGCAGGCCCAGGCCCTCTTTATACCTCTTCTTCACCGCCTGTCACCAGGGGCATCGTGGTCAGCTGCTCCCTGTGCCTTGCACCCCGTTAACCTTGTCCAGGGAAGTAGAATTTGATTGTAGTAACCCAAGGAAAATGTAAATAACAGACTGTCGCCATCATCAGGCGACATTCAGATCATTCATGTTCACCTCAGTTGCCAATGCAAGATGTTACAGACAGAGTTCCTGCTCTCAGCACTGCTCTCGTTGCCTCTGCTCCTGGGGGAAAGCTTCTGTCTGCACACAACCTTCTTTAGGTCCCTGGCTGGGTCTGAAAATTAAACTGGCAAAGACAAATGAAGAGAGGAGCAGTATACAGGTGGATTTAGTAGAAATTATGCAACACACAGTTCCTTCCTAAGGAAAGGAAGAGCCAAAAAAGATTAAACATGGAGTTTAACCTCCAACTAGGTTGGAGGAGGAATGGAAAAATACGATAGGGAAGAGGAGTCTAAGCCAAGGGGGTAAGTATGGTGAGGAACCTAGCAAAGCCTGGAGTTCAGATTCCTCTTGGAGTCCTGTGTCGGAGAGTAAGGGTGTTCCTTTGCACCAGGAAGCGGGGCGGAGGCGCCTGCTTCCAAGGACAAAGGGAGAGGAAGGGGAGGGCCCTTCCTGTTCTCACTGTGTCCTTAGATTCCTCCAGCTTCTGTCAAGTGCCTGTTGTGGGTAGCACGTCCTGAATACCTCTAGGAGCTTCTCATTCCTTCCCTAGGACAGAATATACCCGCGGGAGTGGGCATGAAAAGGAAATTCTGGTGTGTTTGGAACAGAAAATGTATATACCTGGGCTGGGAAGGTGGCTCAGTGGTAGAGTGCTTGCCTTGCATGCATGAGGCCCTGGGTTCGATTTCTCAGCACCACATAAGCAGAAAAGGCCAGAAGTGGTGCTGTAGCTCAAGTGGTAGAACGCTAGCCTTGAGCTAAAAAGTTGAGAGACACCTCCCAGGCCCCACAGCCGACCAAAAAAAAAAAAAGTGTATACCTTTTTGCACCTCTACTCCCAGGCTGGCCTTGAACTTTTGATCCTCCTGCCTCAGTCTCCCACGTTTCTGGGATTACAGGTGTATGCCATCGTACCTGGCTGTTGCTCCTATTCTTTGACATTGTATCCCTATATTTTTTAAAAAAAGCTAATTCCCAGTGCAAAGGTAAGTGGTGAAAGCCAGGATCAAAGTTAGGTTGTTTCTCCCCAGCATTTGTTTGTTTTCCATTAGATTACAGCATTCCAAATGCTTAACCACATCTTCTGAGAAGATAGTCTTCTCTAAAACTAATGATTGAAATGAGGTTAAAAAGAAAAAAAAAATTGCCAATCATTAAATCAATACCCATGCCCAGGTCTTAATGATTATAATTATGGAACTGTAATCACACAGGTCCACTTCATCATTTAGTCTGGCTATGTTTTTTTTTTTTCTTAACTATCTAGCCTTATGCATTTTTCTCTCATCTTTTTGTTTATTTGTTTTGCCCGTCCTGGGGGTTGAACTCAGGGCCTGGACACTGGCCTGTAAGCCTCTTGGTGCTCAAGGCTAGCACTCTACCCTTGAGCCACACACAGCACCAATTCTGGATCTTTTTGAGTGGTTTATTGGAAGTAAGAGTTTCAAGGACTTTCCTGCATGGTCTGGCTTCAAACCATGATCCTTAGATCTCAGCCGTCTTAATAGGATTTCAGGCGTCTTAATAGGATTTCAGGCGGGAGCCACTAGCATTGGGCTTCAGAGTAGCAAGGTGTTAGTACTCTCTAACCTTCCTGGCTAAGGCAGTGTGCTAACTCCACCCCCTGGCAGCACCACACTCCCAGAGCCTCAATATACAGTCACGTGATTTTTTTTTTTTTTGTATCTATGACACCCTAATCAGTTTTTAAAACAAGAGCATCCATCACTGCCCAACATGATTTCATCCTCCTTGCTGCCACCTCTCTCTCTGCAGAAATGAGGCATGCAGGCCTCTGCCTCGCCTGAGGTCGTGTCCAATTGCTTGAGAGAGCCTCCGCGCCTGCTTTCTGAGCAGGGCGTCTCTAAGTGGAAATCAGCATCTGTCCTCTTGCCAGCTTTTTGTCATAATCTAAATGATAGCTCAATTTTAGATCATCTGCATGGAGAATTTGAAAAATAACAAGAGGCATGGTCAGAATAACAGAGAAGAAACCTTCTCCTTGTCAGCTGATATAGCAAGTCTGCTGCTCTGTGTACAGGATCTTGCTTTTGTCCAGTGGGTTCTATGTCCCTGGAAGGTATTCTTGGAACTAAAGTGAGTGGACTTTTTCCTTTTGTCTTGTGGAGAAACGACACACAAAGCATTATTTCCTGTCCCTTCTAGCTTGGATATCATTGCTGTCTGTAGGGATGTAGGGCCTTGGCTTTCTGTTTGACTCAAGTACTAGTCACTCTTCATCAAACCACTAACAGTATTTGCTCAGTGGAGGGTGCATTCATTCCTCCATGTTAGCAATATGACACCGTTCTGTGTTTCTGAATCAGATACCTGAGCTCTCTGTTACTCAGAACCTGGGGGGGGGGGGGGGGGGCGTAGATATGAAGTGTTCATTACTGTAACACATTTTAAATGTGTTTTTCTTCCACGTGTGTTCACCTTGCCTTTGGCTATTCTGATTGAAGCACAGGATGTGTGTCAGCATGTACATGTGTTTTCATTGGGTTTTGTAAAAAAGTTGTTCTCTGCATGTTGGTCATTAGAATGAAAATCTCTATGCTAGAACTGGTGTGTGGGGACTGCATTTTTGTCAACAGCACTGCACCAGCTGTGGCTTACAAAGAGAGACGGTGGCCAGTGTGGGTAGGCAGGGAGCCATGGTTTCCTGTATGTCAGTAGCTCCCCTGGTGATCTCCATGGACCTTTATATGCTTATTACACATAACTCTATGCCAGATAGAGGTGGCTCATACCTGTACTCTAAGTTACTCAGGAAGCTGAGCTCTGAGAAGCTTGGGTTTAGAGCCAACCTCAAGCAATACTCATATCTCCAATTAACCAGCAAAATGCCAAACTGGAGGTGTGGTTCACGTGGTAGGTTACCCAGCTATAAATAAAACTGCCAAGCAAGAGCACCAGGCCCTGTGTTCCATTAACAGTCTATGCGTGCGCGCGCACACACACGCACACACACACACACACAAAGGTAATTAGCTCATCTTTACAGTTCTATCTAGAATTCAGTTCCTTGGGGCATTTGCTTTTTGAGTTCTCAGCATCTATGCTTTACTGGTCATCTTTCTGTAGGTTCTCTTCTGACACTGTAGGAGAAGGCCTCACTGCAGTCTGCAGACTCTGTAGACGCTGCCATGACCGTGGGCACACATTGTCATTGGTCACAGTGGGGTGATGACACCTCGCCCTTGGTTTGGAGAGCCATCCCGTGCCCTGGGCATGTAGGCTTTGCTGTAAGAAGTCCTGTGCAGCGCTAGTGTAGACACCCCGTCCTGGCATGACGAGAAGAGGAAGAGACAGAGTCATTCATCATCTCAGTTACCCTGGCTCTTAAGAGTGATGCACTTGCGTAGATTTTTTTCCCTCAATTACATTCTGAATCATCATGACTTCCCTTCATCTTGCAAGCAGATTTTCTCCATTATTTAGATTGATGAACTTTGATTCTGCCTTTAGACTATATTATTAACTGCATGGTAGATTTGATTTGCGTCACAAGTCAGAAAGCTCTTGTGTATTTTCATTTTCCTTAAAATGGACTTGGGTTTTTTTTTTATTTGTGTTACTTATCAAGAGGTGTACGCTGTATTTTTTTTTATAAACTACAGCTACATGAGAAAAATGAGAAGTTCCTTGTTTATCAAAGTCAGATGAAGTGCTTTCTTAGAAAGAGAAGCTCTTCAGTTTATTCTCTTTTAAGTATATAATTTGCCTTTGTAAACTTTTTAACATTACCTATCAACTTTAAATGTTTCAGCTATTAAACAAGGCAAAAATAAAGGCGCTAGCCTAACCAAAATTACTATCTGTGTCATAGGGGCTCAGAGCAGGGGAAGGAGACATTTGGCCACCTTCCAGGACAGGTTGGCTTTGTGGGCGGCAGGCAGGACAGCAACGCCTCACCCGCTGGCTGTCCTCCACTGCAGAGAACCAGCTTCCCCTCCTCAGACGCCACAGTTTCTCACTCGGGACTGATTGCTCCAGAGTAAGAAAATAAAAAGGGTAATCCATGTTACAAAAACAACCAGCTTATGAAATAGTGTGTAGGCAGGAAATAACCATTAATTGTTGTCGAATTTCAAAGTAATTAATTAGTCCCTTTTAAGTGTAAGTGTTTTAGTATCTTTTACCAACACACATGTGTTTAAGATTAGCAAATTGTCTACTTAAAAACCGTAATGTTTATTCAAACGATAGATCAGCATGCTTTCCTTCAAATAGGTCAGAATAAAGCCATTTTTTCTCCTCCCTGTATAGTGGAACAGGGAAAAGAATTACACTGTGAAGTATAGAAGCTAGCCACAACATTTGAAATACCATCACTAATAATCACCATGGAAACAAGACCTCTGACGTCACACTGCCTATACCATCTCCAAAAGGGCAGCTATAACTGACAAGAGCCACTATTGAAAAGCCATTTAACACCCCTTACAGACTGGGGTTTTTTTCCTTTTGGCAATTTTGGCCAGGTATCAGATTTAATCATGTTACTGTTTCAATTTGCCAAGCTAATTGCTATGCAGTAAGACGAACAGCTATTCCCTCTGCTCCCCTCCTACCTTCGTCATAAGCAGTAGTCT